CTCTTGTTTTGAGAGACACTCTCACCTAATGCACAGGAATGCTTGACTGTAAAAGTGATATGATGTCATTTACAATTTTCCCACTGACCAAAAGATGATAAAAAGGCACTTAATTGTCACAATGTACTAACAAATTTTCCCTCAAACAGGTGACGCTGATTGACTCCGATGCTCTGCTTGACACATTGGAAAAATTACCTCAGAAAACATATAGGTAAATGTACATAGATGATCTCTGTAACATCTGTTGATTTTTTTCTACTGAGTTCCTTAATGTCCAAGTGCCCTGAACCCTTTCACTCCAAGATGAAAAGATCAATTCTCTGCTCTGTACTTCAAACATTTATAACAAGTTTGGCTTTGATAATTTTTTGTCAATTAAAACAATAATTTTATACCCAAGTTTTAATTCTCCTTTCTTTCTCATCACCTTTTTATTTGAATTTGTGTTAATATTATAAGGAGAAATTTCTTTTTGGTCACACTAGGGAGTACATGTTCGTGTTTTATTTTACCGTGTAACTCCTATAACTGACATATTTTACGTGTATAGTATGGTAATGCTGTTCTACTTTCAACCAGGAGACACATGTGCACTGTTCAAACAAAAGCTGTTCACTTGAAGTTCATCATGATTACTTAGCTTGGTGCAACTTGTTTGTTGTTGTTGTTGTAGATTTTGTAGTGAATGTAAATTGAAAGTTTTGAGGGCATACAGTATTCTGGTAGGAGATTTGGATGGGCCAAGTGAAAAGGGGTAGGTATGAAGTTATGTAAAGGCAACAATGTACCTGGTGAGAGTGCTTAATTTCCCAAGCTGTGAGCTCGGTTTTATTGTAGACTTGTTGTGACAGAAGTTTGGATGATTTTTTGGCTTTGCCAGGGGGTTTTCTTTCGGATTCTCAGGTTTCCTTTCTTGACAAACCAGCCTGTGGTGCAGGTGTCTTAATAGGGATCAACATTAGAAGCTTGCAATCTTTCATTCCACTGCTCATGTTTGGTTTACATGTAGCACTAGAGTGGATGGAAAGGGGCCTCTCCTTTCTTTTGACTGTTGCTTACCCCCTTGGTACAATTTCTTTTCACTCCCCAGCTTTTCCATTGCCATTAATTTTCACCGAGAAAATACTGAGTACTCACCTACACCTACACCTACACCTACACCTGCTCTGCTGGCTATCGAAAACATGATAAGCATATTGCTCTGTTCTGTCCTTTTTTGAACTGTCTCATAGATTAAAAAGCAATGTTTCTTTCCTGACTCATTTAGTTGCTTTGCTACTTTGTATGATGGTCCTAAAAGCTGTCCTCAAGAGCGCCATGTCCATGTACTGTGTGATACAGGCTACATTGCACATTTAATCGGATGGGCAGAACCAGAGCTGGCTGAAGGGTATGCAATACTTGTATGCTGTTGTGGCTCATGT